TAGAGTTTCTCAGGCTTTCTTAGTTCAGAGCACCTTAGTTAAGGTTCACCAATTATTTTAAGGGGTCCCCAGGCCAAAGGAAATACCTGAAAATTCCATCTATGAAATAGGCTAACCCAAACAATAAGTACTTATTCCATGGAAATTTATAGTTGGGCATTTGGAATAGTAATACACTTCATTTAAAGAAAAAAATTTTACTTTTAAGTAGCCACAGCTGGGCTCATGGGTCGCAACTGTAATCCTAGCACTGTAGGAGGCCGAGGTGGATGGATTGCTTGAGCTCACAGATTCAAGACCAGCCTGAGTAAGAGTGAGACCCTGTCTCTACTATAAAGAAAAACAGGCAAGAGGATTGCTTGAGCCCAAGAGTTGGAGGTTGCTGTGAGGTATGTTCATGCCATGGCATTCTACCCAGGGCGACAACTTGAGACTATGTCTCAAAAAAAAAAAAAAAAAAAAAGTAGCCACAGTTACTTACTCCTGGGATGTGTGCATTAGTTGGGTACTTCGTAAAACTTGGGATCTGATTCAATACTGCCCCCCTTGTTGCTTCATTGTTCTACATTGATTCTCACACGGGACTTGTTCTTTCAGTAGCTGCTGCCACAAGCCAGCTTTGCAGAGAGAGGGAATCTTGGAAAGGAATAAAACAAGATGTAATGTTGGAAGACGTGAACAGTGTGCAAAGATGTCGAGTTTCACCATTTCCCTCAGAAAAGATCTGATGCATCCATGGGGCTCAGCTCTGTGTCCTTTCCTTTTCCCCCTCTCGATCCGTGGAAGTTTTTCCTCCCTGGCCCACATGTTAGTGTGGACTTCATCACCACCTCAGCCCCGTGCTCTGGAGCAGGGCTGTGCAGCACACAAGGTGTACAAAGTGCTGTGTTGTTGGCACTGCTGTAGGTGTTCCTGCCAGGCCATTTCTTCCCAGCCATGGTGCTCATAGGATTCTTCTTATCCTCTGATTTCAGCCCCATTAGAGCACATGATCTGGCTCAGTGTGCCGTTTTCCCTTCCTGTATCTGTAACAGGTTCAGTTTAACCACAGAAGGCTGCAATCTTCAAGGTTAACATAAAAATAGCTCCTGCTGATCTGAGAAACTAGCTTTTCTTGTTGCTGCCATTGGCTACAGCTCCCCTTTCTCTGTTGATGTGATTTTGGAAAATGCCAGAATTTTCCTCTTCAGGATTCCCTGGGGCCCATTCCTGCATCTCTGGAGCAGGGCCCACCATGGAAGGCACACTCCTTGTGTCCCCCATTGATGTTGGCTTGACCCTGTGGCTCCTCAAGGCCAAAGATGGCAGAGTAATGGCATGCCAACTCCAAGCCTCAGTCTCAGGACACCTGCTGTGTTTTTGCTCATGGCCATGGAAGCTTTCCACCCTGTTGGCAGAGGGTAAGAGGAGGAGGAGGAGGCTACAGTCCCTCCAGACCAATCCCAGAATAGGGCCCAAGAAGCAGAGCCTCCCGGCTCACTCATAGACCTGTGAGCATGAAAAGTACGTATTGTCTGGGTTTCATTGTGAGATGGCATCATTACATGGTGACAGCTGACTGAAGCAGGGAGAAAAGAGGTCTGTAAGCGAGAGGAGAAAGAGTGATGGAAACTCAGCATCTGAAAGGGGTACTGTCCCCAGGGACTGGATGACTTTCTAGGAAGTGCAGTGACTCTTCTGTGGAATAGTGTTATGCCAGGCGATTCTTAACCCTCAGGGGAAGGCACTGAAGGTCTTAACCCACCTGATAGATGAAGACACTGATGTTCCACATGGTTGCAGGTACAGTGGTGAGCCTAGACAGCTCTTCCCAGGTTGTGCTGCTCTCACTGGAGTCTGGACTCATTTGTACAGACAAGTGGGGCCTGAGGCCCAACCTTCCTTCTAGTGGGTAGAGGAAAGAGGGCAGGCCTGTGCCCGGGAGCTCCTCAGGACAGACAGGGCAAGGTTTGGTCAAGCTAGGAGGGAATGACAGAACAAATGGGGTGCCTTTGTCCTTCCTGCTGGGAACCAGGGGTTAGGGACTCACAATGTGAGCTATAACTGGTGTTCTCTGTCTAGCCAAAAGCTGGACTATGCTGGAACATTGGCTCACCCTCTAGGCTCACTCCTGTTTCCCATGATGTGCCTTTGTCAGACCTGTGTCCAAGAAAGAACCACACCAAAGTCAGAGGACCAGGATACCTACACTGCACACTGCAACAGCCTTGCTTGGTGTGTGGCCTCTGGATTTTGACATGCTTGAGGCTGTCTCAGCCTCAGGGATTAAATTAAGAAGATTCAGCAGTCAAAACTTTGAAAAAGCCCAAGATGGGGTTCTGGCAGTTTGAGGACGAAGCCATGAGGTCCCACCTTGTAGACACTGTATCCAGGGAAGAATGAGTCTGTATTAGTGCTGCCAGCCAGAGACATCTGTCAACGTGTTCTTATTACTTTAAGGGGGATTCCCGTCTTGAAGTCGGATTACTTTCAACTATTTTTAATCCCCTCTGGGTCTGGTCTGTTTTATGCTGGCCAGTTCAGTGGCACCTTCCTGACTTTGACCTTGTTGTCTGCTGACTCCTGCCTATAAGGCCATCCTCTCTCTGTGTGACAGCCTCCCACAGACCCCTAGCGGTTCTTATGCCTAGGTCCTACCAGAGGGGACACCAGGACCTCCCACACAACAGTGCTGTCCAAGGAGAGCCAGCACCACAGCCCCTCTCAATGTGCATAGGCCCTAGGATGAGGTGGGGGGCTGAATAATGGCACCCCAGAAAATGTGTCCCCATTCCTAGGACCTCTGCATGTTAATTCATAATAGCATAAAAGGTCTTGGTGGACATGATTAAGGATGGTCCCATCACCTGGGAGGAACTTAAAGACAGGCACATATGTAAAAGGGAGCAGAGAAGAGGTGACAGAGGAGACCATATGACCACAAGGCAGAGATTAAAGTGACACACCACAAGCCAAGGATTGCCCGCAACCATCAGAAACTGGAAGACACAAAAGGATCCTGGAGCCTCTGGAGTGTACATGGCTCTGCTGACACCTCAACTTCAGCCTTCTGGCCTCCAGACCTTTGAGAGCATCAATTCCTAATGTTTCGAGCCACCAAGTTCACAGTGGTTGGAGCAGGAGCCTCAGGAAATGAATATAAATGAGAAACTGATGGATTTCAAAAAGAAATTACTGGACCCAAACCCTGGCCTGTCCCCTAACTGATGGCCCACCCTTGGGAACTGGTCACTTGGGGGTCTTCTGGGCTTAAACGCAGACTGTTGTCCAGCACAAGAAAACTCCCCGCTCTCCAGCAACTTGGAGTGTGCCTTGCAGTCCCACCCTTCCTGGCCCTGTAGTCAGTGGACCCACAGGCCAGGCAGCCCTGATGCAGGAGACCATGCCCTCTGTCCATGGCTTCCTGCTGAGTTGCCTGAACATCATGGCTGATAAAGTAGGGAAGCAGGATTGAGGGTTGGTGTAGGGTCCTTGGCTACCACAGGGTTCCATTTGCAATGTGCAGCTCTGTAAGGGGCTTTGGCCTCTAGCTCCTGGGTGACCTCAGGGCCTTCAGACCAGCACAGGCAGCCTGGCTCCACTGTCCCCCAGACACTGACTATATCCATCCCTGGTCAAGAGACTGGGGTTAAGGATTAGGGTGAGGCTGCCTGTGTGAAGGACCCAGGAACCCCTGGCCTTTTCATTAGATGTTTCAAAACCAAGTGAAGAGCTCAGTGCCTATAGCTCAAGTGGCTAGGGAGCCAGCCCCACACACTGGAGCTGGCAGGTTTCAATCTGCCAAACAATGACAACTACAACCAAAAAATAGCTGGGCATTGTAGCAGGCGCCTGTAGTCCCAGCTACTTGAGAAGCTGAGGTAAGAGAATCACTTAAGCCCAAGAGTTTGAGGTTGCTGTGAGCTGTGATGTCATGGCACTCTACCCAGGCTGGAGACTCTGTCTCAAAAAAAACCCAAAAAAGCCCAAGTGAAGGCTGGATCACACCTGTAATCCTAGCAGTCTGAGGGTCAAGGCAGATAGATCACTTGAGCTCAGGAGTTTGAGATCAGCCTGAGCAAGACAGACCTCGTCTCTACTAAAAACAGAAATAATTACCCACTTTGGCGGTGGGGGCCCCCTGTAATCCTGGGCCCTAGGGAGCTTGAGGCAGAAGAACTCCTTGAGTCCCCAGGAATTAGAGATTGCAAGTAAGCTATGATGATGCCACTGCACTCTAGTCCGTGTGACAGAGTGAGACCTTGTCTCAAAAAAAAAGAAAAAAAAAATTACACACACACACAAACCCCAAGTGCCAACATGAATTATCAGGTGCTGTTTTTATTGCAGCAAAGAGCCTGTGCCTGTAGAAATAAGCACGTGTCAGCCACCTATCTGCATGAGGAACAGACACCCTCAGCTGTACACGTGTCCCAGGGAAGGGCCAGCTGCCTACCTTTAAAACCCGGGGTGGAGCACACACTGCCCGTGAAGGACCCTGTGCCCACAGCTGTCAGGACTTCACAGCCATTGTCTTCAGACACTTCCTTTTGTAGATTACTTTTCCTTACAAATTTTTTCTTATAAAAGGAGAAAATAGCCATAAAAGAAATTTGGAATTCCGTCATCTCTGCAGACATCATCATCACTGTCACCTCAGGTGAGCACCAGGCCCCAAGTCTGGTCTTTCTGGGTGATAGTCACAGAGCTGTGGGGGCTGGGTTCAGAGCTACATTCCCCCAGAGAGTGAGGGGTCTCTTCTAGCCAGCGTGGGTAACAGTGGGCTCTGGTGTCCCTCACAGGGGCTAATTTTCTGGTGGGCAAAGGAAGAGACCCAGAGTCCTCTGGTTGGCAGCACTAGGTTCCTGGCTCTCTGGATTTTATGTAAACAGATCTCCCTGGCCTGCATTCCAGCCCAGCCTGTTAAGGTGGGACCTCCCTCACCAGCAGCTCCAGGGAGGTAGGGGTGCTGTGGCAGGAGATGACATCTCTCTCCAAGTCTCTAACCTTCATTTTCCCAGGATGAGGGAGGTGAGGCTGCTGGGAGCACTGCTGGCCTTGGCTGGCCTGCTACAGGTGGCCCTGTCTCTGAGAATTGCAGCCTTCAACATCCGGACTTTCGGGGAAACCAAGATGTCCAATGCCACTCTCTCCAAATACATTGTGCAGGCAAGTCCAGGGTGGCTGTGTCCCTGAGGGCAGAGGAAAGCTGGGAGGGATAATGGGTCCTGGGCTTATGGGCAGGGCTAGCCCTATGGGGCCACAGGCTGTTGGGGCATCAAGTGGTTCTGGTCTCAGCCTCCTCAGTCAGGGGCTGAGACCTAACTGCCAGCCCGGTGTCCTTGTCACGGCTGTGTTAACAATGACTGGCAGTGGGAGTTCAGGCCAGAGCACAAGGCTACAGGCAAATAGGTGGGAAAATGCCTGGGAACAGCAGCTGCAGCCCCTGCCGGTGCCTGCAGGTGGTCCCAGGCAGGGCAGGGCTAGATGCACTCAAGGTCACCACAGCCAGCTCAGAAACACTGTGGCCCCACCCCCCAGATCCTGAGTCGCTATGATATCGCCCTCGTCCAGGAGGTCAGAGACAGCCACCTGACAGCCGTGGGGAAGCTGCTGGACGAACTCAATCAGTGGGTGACAGCAAAGTGTCCTGGGGGTGGCAAAGACCTTGTCCCAGGCACAGCCTCCCTGGGGCAGTCATGTGGGCAGAGCCCTGTCATTAGCAGCCCCCTGACTGGAACCTTGTTTCATCAACCCAGGGATGCACTGGATATCTACCACTACGTAGTCAGTGAGCCGCTGGGACGTAGCAGCTACAAGGAGCGCTACCTCTTTATATACAGGTAAAGCCCTGGGTCTACCCGGTCCATAACAGCAAGGACCAAAAGGTTGGAGACAGACCTGTGTCCGTACCTCAGAAGGCACTGACAGAAGGGTGGTCTAGAGCCCAAGAATCCATCCCTCACAGGGGGTGGGGACCCCAGCAGGTTTGGGGAAGCAGTTTGCCATATGGCACAAGAACCCAAGGCTTGAGCAGCATCCAGGTTAGAAGTCTCAGACCCTGTGGGGTAAGTACTGGCTAGCTGTTGGGTGCTCCCTCCAGGGTGCCTTTCACAGGCAGGCAGGACATGGTGGAGCTCCAGGCCCTCAGCTCCTCCTACAGCCCAGGGCTCAGAATACAGGGCCAGCCTCAAGTGCCATGTAGGAGGGGGCAGCCCCCCAGCCCAAGTTCACTTCCCCCTGGTCTTCCTACAGGCCTGATCAGGTGTCTGTGCTGGACAGCTACTATTATGATGATGGCTGCGAGCCCTGTGGGAATGACACCTTCAGCAGAGAGCCAGCCATTGTCAAGTTCTCCTCCCCATTCACAGGTGAGTGCTGCTACCTGGGCCCCCAGCCCCTTCCCAGGACACCTGGAAAGCTTGTCACATACTGCCCCTAGCCCTAGCTTTGGTTTCATGTTCCATAGGAAAATTCCTCTCCCTGGGACTGTCATTCCTTCTTTATCCCAGCCCCCAAAGCATGACTCAGCCTGGCCCTGTAGGAGGGTGGAGCCAATATACCCTTGGGGCAACTCACTCCAAAGGGGTTTCTGTATGCTATGTGCTTAGTGTGACCACTGTCTCCTCAGAGGTCAGGGAATTTGCCATCGTGCCCCTGCACGCAGCCCCCACAGATGCAGTGGCTGAGATTGACGCTCTCTATGACGTCTACCTAGATGTCAGGCAGAAGTGGGACATGAAGGTAAGGGTCTCCTGGGGGCAGTGGATTCAGGGGCCTTTATTTGTCCTTGGGCCAACTGGAGGGTGTTCTTGATAGGACATCATATTGATGGGTGACTTCAATGCGGGGTGCAGCTATGTGACCCCCTCCCAGTGGCCATCCATCCGCCTGCGTATGCACTCTGCCTTCCAATGGCTGATTCCTGACTCAGCTGATACCACGGCTACTTCCACGCACTGTGCCTACGACAGGTGAGCAGGGCAGAGCCTGTTCAGGGGTTCCTGGGCTCAGGTAGACATGAGCAACTATTTTTTTTTTTTTGAGACAGAGTCTCATTTTGTCACTCCTGGTAGAGTGCCATGGCGTCATAGCTCATAGCAACCTCAAACTCTTGGGCTCAAGCGATTCTCTTGCCTCAGCCTCACGAGTACCTGGGACCACAGGCATCCATCACAATGCCTGCCTATTTTTTTCTTTTTTTAAGAGACAGGATCTTGCTCTAGCTCGGGCTGGTCTCGAACTCATGAGCTCAGGTGATCCGCCTGTCTCAGCCTCCCAGAGTGCTGGGATTACAGGCATGAGCCACAGCACCAACCCCCCCCCAGCAACCTTGACCTATAGGTCAACTTCAAAAATGGCCGAGATTGAGAATTAGTCAATCCACTTAGAAAATGCAATTAAAAGGGCCACATTTCTTAGTTTTTTGGAAAAGCATGTTTCAGGTTAAAAGGAGAGGCAGAGGGCGGTGCTTGCGGCTCAAAGGAGTAGGGCACCAGCCCTATATACTGGAGGTGGTGGGTTCAAACCTAGCCCTGGCCAATAAAACAGAACTGCAAAAAAAATAAAAGGAGAGACAGAAACCTGGGTTCTCAGGTGGTTTTTTGTCTCTGAACAGCCTCAGGTGTACAGGCTAGGGGTATACAGTTCTGGGAACCACAGATCTGTGCTGGTTTAGCTGCTGCTCACGGGGGATGTACCTTGGCTCAGCTCAGCTTATAGAAATATGTTGGAGCTGTGAGGACTGTGATGACCCCAGGGAGAGCTGGGTGGGCCCAGAGCCAGGCCAGCTAGTGAAAGGGAAACCTTCCTCATTCCAACACTGTAGGATTGTGGTCTCAGGAACTCAGCTCCAAGGCGCCATTGTTCCAGACTCAGCTGCTCCCTTTGACTTCCAGGCTGCTTATGGCCTGAGTGACCAGCTGGTATGTGTCCTTCCCTCCCACACCTACAGCTTTTCCACCCAAGATGGGCCTGGCCTTTCCCTGAAACCCTGATGGGCTTCAGGCCAGCACAGTTTTAAGCTGTGACTAGAAAGAGTCCTTCTACCAGCTGTTCCCAGGCAGGCCTGGTAGTGAGGCGTGTGGGTCCAGAAGCCACATGGCCTGGATTCCATCAGGGATTCTGCTGCCCTCAGGGATTCTGAACACTAATGCCTGGGTGTCCCTGCACCTGCTGCATGTTTCCCCCCAGGCCCAAGCCATCAGTGACCACTATCCAGTGGAGGTGACACTGAAGTGAGCCTGACTCAACCTCACTGCTCCTGGAGAAGACTGGTGACACCAAGCATGGCACATGCACTCACAGGTGATTGTACAAAAAAGAATCCATGTATTACCACAGCAGCCTGCCTTCCAGAGCCTGGACAAAAAGTCTAACATGCACATTAAGAAATACCTTTTAATTAAGGTAAATAAAGATCAAGGTTCTCATCTGTGGTATCTGTCCTTCCTCCTGCCTGGAAGACACTTCCCAGGCTAAGGCCCACAGCTCTGCCATAGCCAGGATTAACCCCCTTGGCCATCAGCGTTTCTCTAGGGCCTTGACGAGAAGGTCATTCAGGCGGCCTACCATTGGTCTGGGGTCATCCACAAGCCCAGCTGTTATCATGGCGTTCTCATATATCTGAAAGGCAAGGGTAGAAATCATGTTAGGAGGACAGGGGATTCAAAACGCAAGGAAAGATGGGAAGAAAACTTTTCCTTTTTAAAATAGTTTAGACGAAATAGCACTGTTCCACCACAAAGGCAGATGTAGGCTCCCAGAACTGGCAGTGTAGCCTGGGTCCGTCTGATTGTGGCCCATCTCTAGAGTCTCCCAGGTTCTCATGAGCCTGGAGCTGGCTCCTCTTACCTGATCCACAAGCAGCTGGGCCAGGTCAGGCTCGCTCTCCCTTAGTTGGCTGAGCTTCTTGATCAGAGTGTGCCTGCAACACAGAAGCCACCAGAAAAGCTGGCATAGGACTGAGTACCACCCACCCAGCACAGGGGCCTATTCCCAGTGTCCCACTTACCTTTCTGAGATGTTGGGTATGTCAGAACATTTTAAAAAGTACAACAGGACTATTGAGTATAGAAAAGTAACATATAAATGAGCAAGCACATTTAATCTGATTATATGCCCAGAAAGCCAGAGAAAATCAGTCAAAAGTTTGAATATTTGAAAATGCATTGAGGTAGCTGAACACTAAAATTAAGATACACTAAAACATCATAAAGGGCCAAAGGAGAAGAGTTAAATGCATGAAGACACGCACTGGTTCTTAGATAAGTAGACTGTGAATAATAATGGTGAAAATTTCCCTGAATTAATCCATAAATCTAATAATTCCTACATATTAATAGATTATACTAAAAAATTTCTTTTATATCTAAACAATCTAACATTTATACAGAGGCTTGGAGCCTGTAGCACAGTGGTTACGGCACCGGCCACATACACCAAGGCTGGGGCCAGCTAAACAACAATAACAACTGCAACCGGCCATTGTGGCAGGCGCCTGTAGTCACAGCTACTTGGGAGGCTGAGGCAAGAGAATCGCTGAAGCCTATGAGTTTGAGGTTGCTGTGAGCTGTGACGCTACAGCACTCTACCAAGGGCAACATAGTAAGACTGTCACAAAAAAAAAAAAAAGAGAGAATAAATAAAAATAAAATAAAATTTATACAGAAAAGAATACCCAAGAAAAGAAAGGAGAAGAAATTCCAGATGTTGAAACACATTATATAATTTAGTTCTGGAAAGTGAGAAGATGAACAGCTCAGTGCCACAAGGTGAGAAATATGGAAATAGATATAAATACATACAGAAATTTAGTATCTGATAAAGATGGGCATTTTGCTTATGAGGGAGAAGACAGATTATTTAGTCAAAATGTCACGATAACCACTAAGCCATCTAGAAAACAAATAAGTTGGATTCCTACCTCATTACTTGCACACACACACACAAAAAAACTCCAGAGGGATCAAATTTAAATGTAAAATTAATAGCATACTGTAAAGAAACAGGGAAGAAATGTTTTATATAAGGGGAAAGTGATTCCAAGCAAAGTACGAACCAAGAAGCCAAAAGGAACAGAATGATACATTTGACCTCATAATTTACTGCATAGGAAAAGCATACCAGCTTTGACCTTTCTCATAAGAAAAATACATCAAGCTCAGTAGCATAGCACAGTGGTTACGGTGCCAGCCACATACACTGAGGCTGGTGAGTTCGAACCCAGCTGTGGCCAACTGCAACAAAAAAATAGCCAGATGTTGTGGCAGGTGTCTTGTAGTCCCAGCTACTGGGGGGCTGAGGCAAGAGAATCACTTAAGCCCAGGAGTTTGAGGTTGAAGTTGCTGTGAGCTATGATGCCACGGCACTCTACCAAGGGTGACATAGTGAGACTCTGTCTCAAAACAAGCAAACAAAAAAATATCAATATTCTAAGATAATTTTTCACTCGTAAGAATGATAAAAATTGGCCAGGCACAGTGGCTCCCGCCTGTAATACTAGCACTCTGGGAGGCTGAGGCATGAAGATTCCGTGAGTTTGGGAGTTCAAGACCAGCCTGGGCAAGAGCGAGACCCCCATCTCTAGTAAAAATAGAAAAATTAGCTGGCTGTTGTGGTAGGCACCTGTAGTTCAGGCCAATGGGAGGCTGAGGCAAGAAGATCCCTTGAGCCCAGGAATTTGAGGATGCTGTGCGCTAGGCTGGGTAACAAAGTTACCTCATTCTGCCTCAAAGAAAAACAAAAAAACAAAACAAAACTTCACAAGGGTATAGTTTAAATAAACTTGAACTACACAGGTATGCTCTTTATAAACAGACATCCAGATGTACATAAGCTTCATGCACATTCCTTACATGTTACGTTTTGTGATAAAGGGGCCCACGTTCTCATATGATTCTGAAGAATGCCCTGGCAGGTAGGCAGGGACCAGAAGCACTAGAGCCCCGGACTCACCTGGGGTTGATCTCCAGAGTGGGCTGTAGGAGCTGAGCTCGCTCCTCCTGGGTCCTGGCCAGCTGCTGCATACGCAGGAAGTGTCGGGCTGCTCCCATCTCCAGCACCGTGACCATGGCAGGGTGGGTGTCTAGTCGCAAAGTCACCTGCAAGCAAAGTCCAGGGGCTGGAGGTGAAGGCACCCCAGTGGTAAGGGGGCACTGGTGGTAACGGGGGATGTGGGGATGGGAGATTCCCAAAGCAAGGGGATTGGGGTTAATAGGGTCTTAGCTGGAGGAAGCTTCCCTAGACCCCAAGACAGAAGGTGGTAGGTCTCAGGGCAGGCCCTCAGCCCTGAGGCTCCTGACTCCAAGCTGCTTCCTCCTCCCAATGGCCCACTGATGGGAGGAGCTGCTAACCCCACATGAAGCTGCAGAACCTGTAGGTGGCTCCTTCCTCCTCCCAAAGCCACCAGTGGCCATCTCAGCACCAAATGCCTTGCCTGGCATTTTCACCATGGTCCTCCACAGTTTCCCTGCCAAGTCTACACACATCTCCTAGGTTCCCCAGCACTGGCTGCAGGCCCAGCCTTGGGCCAGTTCCTTCTCTGAGGTCTCTTATTTGCCTCAACCTGTCCCTTAGGACAGCCTGAATGCTCTTCCCGAAGCCTCATTCCTGCGCCCTCCTCCACACGTTTTTAGCAAATCTACCTTGGCCCACAGAGCATTCCCAGCCAGCTGCCCTGCACCCACCTGTGGGACCGGGCCTCCTGACTCTAGGAGCCTGGCTTGAATCCAGCCTCCCAGAAGTCTACCTGTCTGGTCTCAGGATGCTGTCTGTGGACTGGGGACAACAGTCTGACTTGCTTCATAGGTGACCTGAGGCTCAGTGAGTGTGCACTGGTAAGGCAAGACCACAGCAAAGCTACAGAAGTGTGAGATGTTGGGAGGTCCCATCTGCACATCCTGTCTCCAGAGGCTGGCTGCACAGGATTCTTGCTCTCACCCAGTGCTCCCTTGTCTCCCAAGTCCATGCCATCCTCCTCTCTTTCCAGTCTACCTGGCACTCTGCCTCTCCCTTGGGGCCACTATCTACATGTGTGCCTGAGCCAGTGGTCCCACATGGGACACCTGTTTCTTCTAGCTGAGCTACATCAGCATGTTCTTAGCTCTCAGAAGCCCTTCCAGAACCCCCCCCCCAACATCCCAAATGGGAACGTGAACTCCCAACTGCTGAGGTGGAATGTCCCTTCTTCAGAATGACCATGTCCTCAGCCACCACAGCTCCTGTAGGGCCTGGACCAGAATGGCCCCAGGGTGGCCCACTAGGTGCCCTCTCTGTTCCTACCTGCCTACCTGGCCTGCAGCTGCTTTCCTTCCAGCCTCTCAGCTCCCACATGCTCCATATCAAAGGAAACAGGGAGGCCCTGCCTCAGCAACACTCCTGGGTAGCACATGAATGTTTGAGCAGGGCCAGGGACCCCTGGGGTCTCTACCTTGTATCACAAGTATATACCACTGCAGAGTGGGCACCCACCAGGCCAGGAACTGGAAGATGGCAACCCACCCTGCCAGATGCGGGCACTAAGGACCATGACAGCCAGATGGCAGCCCTTCCCGGCAAGCCTCACCTTCACATTTGTGACACGTGACCCCAGCACATTTCTCATCCAGGCCATCAGCTCCTCTGTCTCCTTCTCTGACAGGTACTCACCAGCTGCAGAAGAGCAGGCAGGGGTGAGCTCAGGGCCCTCCCCACCATCCCTGCTCCTCAGGCTCCCTCAGGTCCCCTGTGGTGTGTCCTGCCAGCTTTTCCACCTCCTCCCCACCTGCCACGACAGAGACAGACACCACCTTCATAAAACCTTAGGAAGGACAAGTCTGGCTGCTTCAGGCCCATATAATTTTGTTAGGGCTTAAAAAAACAATTCTGAGTCCCTTAGGAAGCTTAGTCAACTATAAGATGCCACATTCCATTAATATGGAAATGGACATATTTTCCACTAATCACGGAGATGACAGGAGAGACTGTGTGGGAAATAAAGTCAGGCCCCTCAGCCTGCCCTGGCTGCACCTGTACTCCCAGGCCCCTCCTTCTCTGGCCCTGTGCCTAGACACCAGGGAGGAAGCTGGGGCAACCAACCTTGGGACCCATCCTCAAACTTTTCCTCCTTATAGTGGTCCACGACAATGTCTGTCTCCACAGAGATCAGTTTCTTCTTGTCAAACTCACGGAGATGAAGCAAGGTCAGCTCATCAAACTGCTCATAGCAAAAGAGGACCTGTGGACATCCAGGAACATCTGTCAGACCTGGAGAGGTCTCTGCCCTCAGGAGAAGACAGGATATGTGCAGTGCAGGGACTGGAGGACCCCACAGGAATCACTGGGATTCCTAGGCCTCAGCTGTACAGGGAGGCTGTACAAGGGAGGCTCTGGCTGCCTCAGCAGTACAAATGTTACACGTGTAGAGAAATCTACATGTAACTTAGTGAGAAATGTCACCTGATGGGAGACAGTCAGGGCCTGGGTGCCTGTAGACCCGACCCACTGCATAGCCCTCCTGGGTCTTGGGCATGTGCAGCCATTTCCCACCAGGTACAGAGCTGAGTAGCTAAAGACCCACCCCAGAGAGCTCAGATCTTGTCTTGTCTTCTAACCTGGCCCCATGGGAAAGACAAGCACAGAGAGCCCAGCCTGGGCAGCCAACTGCCTGACACCTGGGGAAGCCCATCCCACTCCACTCCATCCACCTGTCGTTCACCTACTTCCACGTCCTTCTGCTTCATGGCCTCAAAGTAGGGTGAGTGCTCAGCCAGGTGCCGGTTAGGGGCACACAGGTAGTAGATGTTGCGGGTGCCAGCCCGCATGCGGCTAGCATAGTCCATGAGACTGGTCAGCTGCCCGGCAGGCAGTGCCGAGGACTCGTAGCGCAACAGCTTTGCTATGTCCTCCTGGAGATGGACAAGGGCAGGTCACTGCTTATTCCAGGTCCCCCACTTTCCACACCTCCCAACTTGCTAGGCACAGGCCATCTGAAGCTGACAGCTTCCCACCTCTCTGGCCTGGCTCGGGGCCCTAGGGGCTATGGTGGGCTCTTCCTTGCAGGATCTAAACAGGCCTTGCTCTGCCCATAGGCCCCAGCTCAGGAGCTATGGGGGCTCGGGAAGCACCTCCTACCTTGGTGGCCAGGTGCTGCCTCAGTGAGCCATGCACACCATACCCCCATGTGGCCAAACCCCCACCCTGACAGACCCTGGACCCAGCACCTTCCCTTCATCCTCAGGAATAGACTCCTACCCTAGCAGGCACACAGACACCCACATGTGACGTCCACATTTCCCAGCCATCCTCACAGCCAGGTGTGGTAGCTGACTAGCTTTGGCTGGTAGAGTGGGAGTAGGTCTTGGAGAACGGTCCTTAGAGGAGGAAGAAAACCCCCTGTCTGCTGCACATAGATGTGACCACTGGAGTGTGTCTGGGTTCAGGTGGGAACTGCATGGAAGGATGCAGGGGCAGCAGCAAGCTGGGGTCTGGACACTGCCTCATCTAGGCCACTGTCAGTTACAGGCACAGAGGAGGGTCAGCGAGGACAGGGACACAGGAAAAGGGAGAACACCCAGGGGTAGGACAGCGATGTGACTGGGATTCTAGGTGAACAGAAGCAAGCAGAGAAAGGGAAAAACAGGGACCTGATGACCAACCCACCAAGGCCCAGTGTACATCCATACCGTAGGATGTACACTAACAAATGTAGGCCCTGATCTTCATTAGTAAACACACATACTTAACACAAGTAGGTATCTACATATCTATATAGCACTCAGGAAAAGTCTCTGGCATGCATTGAGCACCACCCAGGTGCTACTAACTAAAAGCACCTGCTCCCAAAACAGTAAATTTTATAAATTTTATAGTATGTGACCTATCAATTAAAAATGGCTCAAAAAGGTTTGTAAAATGAATGTATCATTTTTCAACAATCAGTTGTTTGGTTTAACTCAACTACTGGCCTCAGTGGTATAGTCTAATGGGATGTCTGTCTGGTGTACCAAGAGCCTCCCCTTGTTAAACATGACTTTATCTTCCCCATCCAGGGAGTCAGACACCTCGGCTTGCCTAACTGAAACTAAAATAGGAACAAATGATGTGACTGGGATTCCAGGTGGCCAGAAGCAAGCCGAGGAAAGGAGAGAGAGGAAAAATAGGGACCCAGGGAGAGTTTAACCAGCATGTACTGGAAAACACTGAGGTGTGCTGACAACCAGGAAGCAGGACAAGGGCCCAACAGAAGAGCCAGCCCCGAAGCTTCCTGAGCACCCCATTCCCACACTCCTTCTCCTCCACAGGACTACACAGGTGTGGCTGCCCTCTGTCCCCACCGGAGACAATGAACACCAGGGCCATATGGGGCTGCTTGTGGGGAGGCTCCTTCTATGGGTGAAATGTTCTGGAATAGACAGATGACAGGGAGGTTGCGACACTGCAAGTGTACTGTCACTTAACTACAATTTAAGAGAGTAAATTATTTTATTTTTTTGAGACAGAGTCTTGCTTTGTCATCCAGGCTGGAGCAACTTCACTCCTGGGCTCAAGTGATCCTCCTGCCTCGACCTCCCAAGTAGCTGAGACTACAAGTACCCATGAATACAACTAGCTAATTTTTTTGTTTTTAGGAGAGATGGGGTCTCTCTTTTGCTCAGGCTGGTCTTGAACTCCTGACCTCAAGTGATCCTCCCACCTTAGCCTCCTAAACTGTTGTGATTAAAGGAGTAAGCCACTATGCTTGCCCCTAAAACAGTAAGTTTTATAAATTTCAAGGTCTGTGACCTGTAAATAAAAAATGGCCAAAAAATGTTTATGAAATGGGCTTAGCACCTATAGTCCAGTGGCTAGGGTGCCAGCTACATATACTGGAGGGTTCAAATATAGCCTGGGCTTGCCAAACAACGACAATGCCAACCAAAAAATAGCTGGGCATTGTGGCAAACACCTGTAGTCCCAGCTACTTGGGAGGTTAAGGCAAGAGAATCGCTTAAGCCCAAGAGTTTGAGATTGCTGTGAGCTGTGACACCACAGCACTCTACTCAGGGTGACATAGTGAGAATCTGTCTCAAAAAAAACAACAACAAAGTTTATGGAATTAATGTATTCAGGAATCAATTGTCTGATTAAACCACTAGCCCCAATGTTTCCCCGGTATATCACATACCTTCCCTTATTAAACATATCAGTATCTTCCTACCCCAGGGAGCCAGAAACCTTGGGGTGGCCTGTCTGTCTGTGGCCCCCACTAAGGCCCCTAACATACTCTGTGATGAGGATACAGTTTGCACACCCCTTCCTGCTTCCTCCCAGGACTGGGGTGTCAGAGGGAGGTGTCCTCTGGTGAAGAGCATATCACCTGGAGGACAAGGATCAGGACACACCTACAACCCAGAAGGGGCCCAACCTTCTGTTTCCAGGCCTTACCATTGCCACGTCCAGAAACACTTCTGCCAGTGTCCTTTGCAGCCCCAGAGTCAAACAACAGAAGAAAGGCCTAGAAATGCAGCCCCTACCTTGACCTCCTGCTCCGCGGTGGTCACGATGCCCTCCCTCATGAACAAGCCGTAATCTTCAAAAAACTTTGCGTATTTCTCAGCATCTTTTTTACTCTGGTCAACGAAGAATTTTATTAGCCTCTTCTGTAAAACATCCCGGAGTTTCCTACAGAATAAAAATTCATTTACCACAAACAAGCAACTTCTACTAAATATAAACGACCAGAAAGATACGAATCAATATCCAGCCCCACTAATAAAGAAATGACAACACGACATACCATTTTTGGCCAAACTGAAAAAAGAAAGGGAAACCCTTGACAATCACTGAGCAGGACGCAGCACATGGAGCGCACATGGCCCCCTGGAGGCAAGCATGTGAACTGACAAGCCTTGCCTACAGTCTTGCAACAAAGATCCCAGCATGGAAACGTTTCCACCCTGTGACCCATTTGTTCCAACTGTGGGAATTACCCCTTAGGAAATAATCACAAGCACGAGCTTGTCTTTCTTTTTTTTGGAGACTGAGTCTCACTCTGTTGCCCTCAGTAGAGTGCTGTCGTGTCACAGCAACCTCAGACTCTTGGGCTTAAGTGATCCTCTTGCCTCAGCCTCCAGAGCAGCTGAGATCACAGGTGCCTGCCACAACCCCCGGATATTTTTAGAGATGAGATCTCACTCTGGCTCAGGCTGTTCTCAAACCTGTGAGCTCAGGCAATCCACCTGCCTCAGGCTCTCAGAGTGCTGGGATTACAGGCAAGAGCTACTGCGCCCAGCCTAAGAGCAGAATCCCAAAATGGATCAGGTTCAGTGTACACAGGGAATATAGTGTGCAAAGCCAAATAATATAGTCTATGTGTTTATAACCATTCTTCATAAGTAGAATCAATACTGTATATATCACACATATGAAGCATTATATAATGGACTAAGATTATGAGCATCTTTATTAGTGCAATGGGGCACTTTTATTTCCCTCTTATTTTGCCTTAAGGAAAATAAAATTGCAATTTTTTTTTTTTTTTTGAGACAGAGTCTCCAGCTGTCACCCTGGTGAGAGGGCGGGGGCATCACAGCTCACAGCAACCTCAAACTCTTATTAGGCTTAAGCAATTCTCTTGCCTCAGCTTCCCAAGTAGCTGGGACTACAGGTGCCCACCATAAGGCCCAGCTATTTTTTTTGGATGTAATTGTCGTCGTTTGGCAGGCCTGGGCTGGATTTGAACGTGCCAGCTCCAGTGTATGTGGCTAGCGCCCTAACCGCTGAGCCACAGGTGCCAAGCATGCAATGTATTTCCATACAGTGTATTTATTAACAAGCCAGGATAGGGGAACAATAATGGCTAACGTTCATTTAAGCTTTTCCTCTCCTACTCCCTGAGTGCCTCAGTTCTTCATCCACAGAAGCCCAGAATGGGGTGCAGAGCCTGGGAAGGCAGACATGTCCATGAAGGGCCATGTCAGAGCCTGAGGACCCAGAGGTAAGCATCCAGGTTGGGGGTACAGACAGCCACAGTGGAGAGTCATAGAGTAGATGGATGACAAGGGCACCCAAAGAAGAGAACAGTGGCAATGGCAGACTGGTTACATAAAAGGGGAACGTTCTAATGGGTAACTATATTAACAATAATGAGCCGGGTGGGGTGACTCACGCCTGTATTCCCATTACTCTAGTGGGCCAAGGTGAGTAGATTACTTGAGCTCAGGAGTTCAAGACCGGCCTGAGCAAGAGCAAGACCCCGTCTCTATAAAAAAAATAGAAAAAAACTAACCAGGCATGGTGGTGGGCACCGATAGTCCCAGCTACTCAGGAGACTGAGGCAAGAGGATCACTTGGGCCCAAGAGTTTCAGGTTGCTGTGAGTTATAATGATGCCATGGCACTGTACCCAGGGCAATAGAGTGAGATTGTATCTCTAAAGGGAAAGAAAAAAAAGAATAATGAGAGGCCAATTTCTCCAGATTAGTACTAGAAGTACTGATGCATGCACAGCAGGTACAAAAATGAACCTGGACAGACATGCATCTATTACACACACTCTCCTAAGAAGGCCTGGGAGTAGCAGTTACCAAGATTTCTAGTACCCAGATCTTGGCTTCTAAGTTCTGTGCCCATTAAAGAAGCCAGGGCTCCTAGGAGAAATAAGTAAATCTAGGGCTGAGAAAAATGCAGCAAAATACAAGGTAAGTCTGGACCTTCTTGTGCCAGAGGACGCCTTCAATGCAGGATGGGACCTGTCCAGAGGAATAGGAGTTCACTGGAAGAGCTCTCACTGGCCAAATCATGAACAATTTGAGCATCAAAATAAATAATGATAGTAACAGATTATAACCCTTTGAATAAAACCAGGAAATCAGTACATAGAAATAAATTATAACATTTAAATATATTATAATAAATGAATAAACTGAAAGTTTGATGAAGAATGTGAAATTTACATAGCTTTAAAATCCCAGCCCATCTGATATTCATGAATTGCAAAGAGAAGAAGAGTAACATGTGGAGGCCCTTTAATCAAGCATCAGAATGTACATCACCAATGATGGTACCCCACTGCCAGGATGCCGCCATCCCAGCCTCTTCCTGCCCAGGAGTCACATCCTGAATTGAACCACAGAGAAGGACCACACAAAGATGCCTCAGGGGGCATCTTATAAAACCACTGTCTGATTAGCTGGCTGTGGTAGGTGCCTGCAGTCCCAGCTATTCCAGAGGCTAAGGCAAGAATACCACTTAAGCCCAAGAGTTCAAGGCTACAGTGAAGTATAACAACACTGCACTCTAGTCTAGGCGACAGAGTAACGGCCTATCTCCAAAAAAAAAAAAAACAAAAACAAAAAACCAACACTGTTATATGCAAAGCATCATGGCTATGCAAGTCAAGAAAATCTGTGGCACCTCCACGCCTGAAGCGGGTTAAGAGTCATGGCAACTAAAGGCCCATATGACTCTGGCACTACTGGAACAACAGAGGACTTGATTGGGCCTTTGGAGTAGAAGGTGGAACAACAGTAATGCCCTCATTTTGATGGTTGTGCTGGAGCCGTGTAGGAGGATGGCTTTGTTGGAAATAAACCCAAAGATATTTGGGGAAGAAGAGACAGTAGAAAGATAACTTCTCTCTGAGGGTTCAAGGAAAAAAATGATCCTTGTACTCTTCTCCCAAATTTTCTTTCAGTTTGTGATACTTTCACTTTTTTCAAAAATTCTAATTAAGTCTGACTCTTTCTGATCAAGATGAGTTCTCAAGGGGGTGCCCATAGTCCAGTGGTTAGGGCACCAGCCACATGCTCTGGGGCTGGTGAGTTCGAACCCAGCCTGCGCTTTCTAAACAAAAGAGAAAAATAGCCTGGCGTGGTGGGCACCTATGGTCCCAGCTACGAGGGAGGCTGAGGCAGGAGAATCACTTGAGCCCAAGAGTTCGAGGTTGCTGTGAGCTATGACACCATGGCACTCTACCAAGGGTGACAAAGTGAGACCCTGTCTCAAAAAGAAAAAAAAAAAAGATGAGTTCTCAAGGTGACAATGTAACCTTTGAGCTGCAATGAGCTGGTGGAACACCAAACAGCAGGTCCATCTCCTGATAAACATGACACCTGTGACTCAGTTGCAACTATGACACAAGGATCTAATGGTTTCCCCTCACAGGACAAAATGGGCTATGCTCAGCACAGTTCTGGAGAGAGAATAGCAAGCTGTGCAGTCAGGATGAGGACCAACAGTACAGCCCTCCGTAGCCCCGCAATTCCAAAAGCTACGTCTCCACAGGAGCCCAGCCCCTGCCTCCTCCATTTCACTCAAGAGCTTCCTTGACCATGGTCAGACATACCCTTGATTCATGGTTGTCCTTTGCCTCACCCAGCTCAGAGACATCATGGCTGGACCGCTCCTAGCATCACCACTCCAGGATGGGTGGTGCAAACACCTGTCAGCATCAGCAGTAACATTCTGCAGTGAGCCAGTTCCCACACCCTTTCCATTAAAGTGAAGTGAAACACGGGGAAAGCCCAAGCCCCCACAGACACCGCCAAAGCACAGCAGGATGAATAACCACAGAGCTTTCCTCCAACGATAATGGAAAAATCACTGCCATGGGCAGCATGTCCTCTCCACTGTCCTGTCATAATTTTGGCAAGAAGCACAGGGCCACCCTATCAGGCTGGCATGGCTGGTAACATGGACCAACGTCTTCTTTTCATTGATTTCATAATACCTCTGTAATTAGAGGAAAAATAACTTTAAAATATTTAAATATTCAACTTTCCTCACAAAGTAACCCTACACCTAGTAATCTATCATAAGGGAATACTTGGAGCTGCAGATAAAGATTTAAGAACAAAAACAGACTATGCAAGGTGGCTACACCTCTATTCCTACCACTTTAGGAGGTCAATATGGAAAGATCACTTGAGGCCAGGAGTCTAAGACCAATCTGAGAAAGAGTAAGACCCTCATCTCTACAAAGAAAAAAAACAAGTGAGCTGTAGATGGTGTTATATACCTGTAGTCCCAGCTACTCAGGAGGCTAAGGGAAGAGGATCACTTGAGCCTAAGTTTGAGGTTGCTGTGAGCTATGATGATGCCATGGCACTCTACCAGGGTGACAGAGTGAGACTCTGTCTTAAAAAAAAAAAACCTCAGCACCCATAGCTCAGTGTGTAGGACACCGGCCACATACATCGAGGCTGGCAGGTTCAAACCCAGCCTGGGCCTGCAAAACAACAATGACAATTGCAACCAAAAAATAGCTGGGTGTTGTGGCAAGTGCCTGTAGTCCCAGCTACTTGGGAGGCTGAGGCAAGAGAATCACTTAAGTCCAAGAGTTTGAGGTTGCTGTGAGCTGTGATGCCAAAGTACTCTACAGAGGGCAACATAGTAAGACTCCATCTCAAAAAAAAAAAAAAAATTAATGACAGTGGAAAGTACTCCAATTAAGATAACAGAAAAAAAGGAAAGAAAATAGTATAAATAATATGAATTCAATTATGCTAAAAAACACAAACAAAAAGTCTACATGGCTCTCTGCCTGAGGGTGGGACAAGAAAAGGCTATTATGGGCCTTGCCCCATGTGCTCTGTGCATGGCCCCAAGCAGGCAGCCACCTTTCGCATCTCTTCCCAGACCAGCTGCTGTCCAAGGTCCATGAGATGAGGGACAAACAGTGGTTCTCTCAGTACCAGTGCCGCTTAGCATGGGCATCTCACCACTTCCACGTCATCACTCAAACCCTCACCAACCAATGGGTCTGATCCATCACCTCAGAAGCAATGCCCTTCCCAGAAACAGACAAGAAAATGGCTGTCAAGCTTTTAGTGAGCGCATGTGTGAGGCTTCAGGGAGTGACACTAATACTGCATATAGTACTCTATGAGCAATTCAGATTTCCAAAGGTAACATTTCCAACTTAATTCTCATTCGGCTTGCTAACTCTAATACTGCCCTACCTGGCTGTCAATCTCCTATACCCTGCAATACGGTTAAGCCTAGTTTAGACTACAGGTGACCTGTACATCCTCAAGTAAGCAAGTATTACTTGCACTACAAAAAAAATAAGCTAGCAAGTTCTGCATAAAAATTATTCGCTGAGCCTGGGGCCTGAGCTGGCAGACTGAGGCCTTCTCCCCACACAGCCCAGCCCACTGCAGGATTGTAGCCAGAGCCCCATCCATTCTGGTGGAAGTGGTGGAAAGGCTAGTCTAATCTGACTCTAGAGTCCTCCCATCTAGACTCCCGCGTTGGTGGTGACCAGCCATTCCCAAATTCTTCTGGAGCACAGATAGTTGCTCTAGGGTATGACCCAGAGGCCAGGCCCCCACCCCCAGACTGAGCCTTCCAACCCTGCACTCTGCTCTCATTCCTAGAAACCCTGCCCTGGGCTCTCTGGTGGTAAAGGAGCCAGGGAGGAAATGGTGGTACCCAGATTCCCTCCACTCTCCAGAGCTTACCTGATGAGTGCACTCTCCTGCAAGAGCTCCCGGCTGAGGTTCAGGGGAATATCCTCACTGTCCACCACACCTGAGAGACAGGGCAGGTTAGGGGTTCCTCCATGCCATGTCCCTCCCCTACCACCAAGTCCTCCAGGATAAGCAGTTCATTATCCCTGCAGCCTGGCTTCAAGTCAATCACATGGGGTCAGAAGGCAGCAGGAAGGACAGGACTGGAGAGACCTACAGAGCTTTGTGCAAGACTTGGTAATGTGACCAGTGGGCAGGCGGGCTGGGGCAGCCTTAGCCAGGGGACAGCATCTACAACCTTAGGATCTACCTAACACTTGGAAAACAATGTCCTGAGCTTTATGTTAATAACCATAACTATGGGTGGCGCCTGCAGCTCAGTGGGTAGGGCTGCCAGCCACATACACCAAGGATGGTGGGTTCGAACCCAGCCCAGCCCAGCTAAACAATGACAATTGCGACCAAAAAATAGCTGGGTGTTATGTTGGGTGCCTGTAGTCCCAGCTACTTGGGAAACTGAGGCAAGAGAATCACTTAAGCCCAAGAGTTGGAGGTTGCTGTGAGCTGTGATGTCATTGCACTCTACTGAGGGTGACATAGTGAGACTCTGTCTCAAAACAAACAAACAACAACAAAAAACCCCAACTATGTCATGGTTAGTTTACACCTTTGTATGCTAATAGGATACAAAAAGTTTTGGTTTTTTTCGAGACTGAGTCTCATTTGTCACCCTCAGTAGAGTGCTATAGCAGTCACAGCTCATAGCAACCTCAAACTCTTGGATTCAAGTGATTCTCTTACCCAAGTGATTCTCTTGTGGCAGGCACCTGTAGTCCCACCTTCCCAAGTAGCTGGGACTACAGGTGCCTGCCACAACACCCAGCTATTTTTAGAGATGAGGTCTTGCTCTGGCTCAGGCTGGTCTCAAATCCATGAACTCAGACAATCCACCCACC